ATGACCCCAATCCGGAAAGCTCTCTTCGGTGCGCACGTCGTGACCACCCAGCTATGCTTGGTGAACGCCAATTTCGAGCCCAAAATTCACTGTTTTCCTTTTCAAAATTCAATTTTAAGTTATTTTTTACTATTTATGGTAATATTTCGTTTCCTTTTTTCTATATGTTAGAAAACTCGAATTGAGCCAAATTTTTGGCAACTTACTTCTTTTACTTAATATTTTATTTTGGTATAATTTTGGGATTTTGCCATTTTTGGTAATTTTCCCATAATTTTGTATTTCGCAGCTATTTAACCAGGCTTGTGGGTTAGTTTTCAGCATTCTGCATTATTAATAATATTGAGTTGAATTCAGAGTCTTTTCTCTGGCTTTTTGGGCATTTTCTGTCGTTTTTTTCTTGCAAATCATCTGTTACAACAAGCCAATAGGATAATCACTATCCTACCCGACGTCAGTTGGTATCAAAGCGTTAGCATCTTCTTGGGAGATAAATTCCATCAGTTATAATGGTTGGTGGACGTGGTCGTGGTCGTCGAGGACTGGTTCCGATTGAGGAAGTCCAACATCGTGATCGTAATATTCAGGATGTGACGATTGAAGATTTGCAGAGATAAGTTGTGGAGTTAACCCAACGTTTGGCGGAGCAGGAGTTCGGTAATCATGATGTAGAAGGTCACGATTCCGATACCAGTTTCGAAAACCCGTATCACCATCGTGCTCGAGTTTGGGAGCATCGTGGACGGGAGGATCGTCATGTGGATCTCGATTTCAGAGTGGATCTGCCCGAGTTTTCTGGTACATTGCAGGCTGAAGGATTTATTGATTGGCTGAATGAAGTGGAGCGAATTTTTGAATATAAGGAGGTTCCAGATCGTGTCAAAGTGAAACTGGTCGCCATCAAACTCAAAGGTAGGGCATCTGCATGGTGGGAACAGTTGAAGCGTTCACGAGAGCGATAGGGAAAATCCAAAATTACTAACTGGGAGAAGATGAAGAAGAAGATGAAAGGGCACTTCCTCTCTTTCGGCTATACTCAAACCTTGTTTCAGAGGCTTCATTCACTAAGGCAAGGCGCAAGATCAGTCAATGATTATACTGAAGAATTCTATCAGTTGGTGGCTCGAAATGATTTATCTGAGACGGAGGAGCAGATGGTAGCATGGTATTTGGAAGGATTAAGGCAGCCCCTACAGGATGTTCTCAGCCTTCATTCATTGTGGACAGTTTCTGAGGCATATCAGCGAGCACTTGTAGTAGAGAAACAGCAAAGCAGGAGGCCAGTGGTCAGAGGTGAAGGAAGTCAGCCAGTTCGCCCTCAAGAATCTCGTCCTGCTTATCAATCACAGCGAGATAGTTCCAACTCAAGTATTAAGTGCTTTAGGTGTGGTGAACAGGGGCATAGGGCGACTGATTGCAAGAAGCCTGCTGGTTAGAAGAATAAAAATCTTCTGATTGAGGAGGATATGATAGAGGAGTTTGAGGAAGTTGGGGAACCCGTGTATGATGAGGGTGAAGATGAGGACGTGCTATATGGAGATGGTCAGGAGACCCTGGTTGTTCGAAAGAGGCTGCTGATTCCCAAGGGCGACTTAGAGGATGATTGGTTGAGGACCAACGTTTTCCACACAACCTGCACAGTTGCTGATAAAGTCTGTAAGCTGATAATTGATAGTGGCAGTTGTGAGAATGTAGTGTCTGAGGAGGCTATCGAGAAACTGCAACTGAAGATGAATCGTCATCCCAAACCATACAGGTTGTCTTAGTTGAATAAAGGCAGTGAAGTAATGGTAGAAAAACGATGCTTAGTGTCTTTCTCGATTGGAAAAAAATATTTTGATAATGCTTGGTGTGATGTGGTATCAATGGACGCCTGTCATGTTTTGTTGGGACGACCTTGGCAGTATGATCACAGTGTTATCCATGATGGGCGGAAGAATACTTATTCTCTTAACATCAAAGGGAAGAGAATTGTTTTGGTGCCTTGCAGGGAAGGAAACATCCCTGCCTCGGTAGTTAAAAACCCCAATCTACTTTCGATGTCTAGGTTCTTGGTTGAGGTTGGGCATGAAAAAATAGTTTATGCTTTAATGCCTCGTGAAAATAATACAGTAAATGTGGATTCAGAATTTCCAGTAGAAGTACAGCAACTACTGATGGAGTTTTCTGACTTGATGCCGGAGGATCTTCCTCAAAGACTACCACCTATGAGGGACATTCAACATCAGATCGACCTCATTCCAGGGTTGAGTCTACCAAACCGACCAGCATATCGCCTCAGTCCCAAGGAAGCTGAAGAGTTGCAACGACAGGTGGTAGAATTATTGGAAAGGGGCTACATTCGTAAGAGTATGAGTCCTTGTGCAGTTTCTGCTCTCCTAGTGCCGAAGAAAGATGGGTCATGGCGTATGTGTGTTGACAGCAGGGCAATTAACAGGATTACAGTGAAGTACAAGTTCCCAATTCCCCGTCTGGACGACATGTTGGATCAATTGTCCGGTTCTAAGGTCTTCTCAAAAATTGACCTTAAAAGTGGATACCACCAGATTAGAATCAGACCTGGAGATGAGTGGAAAACTGAGTTCAAAACTCAGCATAGATTGTACGAGTGGATGGTCATGCCCTTTGGACTATCCAACGCACCCAGCATTTTTATAAAGTTTATGCATCAGGTTTTACGGCCTTTCATGGGGAAATTTGTGGTAGTTTATTTTGATGACATACTTATTTATAGTCTGACATGGGAGTCACATTTTAATCATCTTCGTGCTGTCTTTGATGTAATGAGGACGGAGCGCTTATTCATCAATCAGAATAAGTGTTCTTTCTTCACAACTTCTGTAACTTTTTTGGGTTTTGTTGTGTCTACTGATGGTGTTCATGCAGATCAATCCAAAACTGAGGCAGTTTTGAATTGGCCAAAACCAAAAACTTTGCATGATGTCAGGAGTTCCCATGGATTGGCATCCTTCTATTGTCGATTCATCAGAAACTTTAGTACCTTGATCGCTCCTATCACAAAGTGCCTTAAAGGGCGTGATTTTCAGTGGACTGAGGAGGCAGAGGCTAGCTTTCAGTTGGTTAAGCAGAAGATGACGGAGGCCCCAGTCTTGGCACTTCCGAATTTTGAAAAGGTGTTCGAGGTAAACTGTGATGCGTCTGGAGTTGGCATTGGTGGTGTTCTGAGTCAGGAGGGACGTCCAGTAGCCTTTTTTAGTGAGAAGCTATCGAGATCGAAGAAAAATTATTCCACTTATGACCTGGAGTTCTATGCCATAGTTCAGACTCTGAAGCATTGGCGCCATTACCTGGTACAGAGGGAGTTCATCCTTGTTACTGATCATGAGGCTTTGAAGTACATCAATGGGTAGCACAAGCTGAGTAGGTGACATGCAAAGTGGATGACGTACTTGCAGGAGTTTACTTTCACACTCAGGCATCAAGCAGGGAGTTTGAATCGAGTAGCAGATGCATTGAGCCGTCGTACATTACTCCTCACCACCATGAGCACCAAGATTGTCGGATTTGAGGCATTTCCTAATATGTATGCTGAGGATCCTTCATTTGGGAAGATAATTCAGGAGGTAACTGATAATCACCGACATGATTTTGTTTTATATAATGGTTACCTGTTTCGTGGATTGCAATTATGCATTCCGGATTGTTCACTAAGGCAACAGATTATTAGTAAACTTCATAACGAAGGACATTTTGGGCGAGACAAGACATTGGCATTGGTCTCTTCTGATTATTACTGGCCCAAGTTGAGCAGTGATGTGGCGCATTATGTGGAGTGGTGTTATGTATGTCAGCGGTCTAAAGGGGCTCTTACTAATGCTGGATTGTACACACCATTACCCGTACCTGAAGCTCCTTGGTTTGATGTCAGTATGGATTTTGTCTTGGGCTTACCTCGTACATAGCGGGCGATGGATTCCATTCTTGTTGTGGTTGACAGATTTTCAAAGATGGCTCATTTTGTGGCTTGCCAGAAGACAATGGATGCTATTCGGATTGCTCATCTTTATTTCAGAGAGATTGTGCGTTTACATGGTGTTCCACAGTCAATTACTTCTAATCGTGACACTAAGTTTATAAGTCATTTCTGGAGGAGTGTGTGGGAGAAACTTGGAATGAAATTGAATTTTAGCAGCACATACCATCCCCAAACAAATGGTCAGACTGAGGTGGTGAATCGGAGTTTGGGAAATCTTTTGAGAAGTTTAGCCGGGACTAAACCGAAGCAGTGGGATTTGGCATTACCTCAAGCAGAGTTTGCTTATAACCGGTTGAGGAATAGAACCACCGGACTGAGTCCTTTTGAAATTGTCTATGGTCGAAACCCATCCGGAGTACTTGATTTGGCTCCAATTCCACATGTGGGTCACTTCAATAACAAAGCTGATGAGGTGGCTGAACATCTTCGAGGTATCCATGAGCAGGTGAAGCTGTCCATACAGGATAGTAATACTAAGTACAAAGTTCAAGCAGATAGTCATCAACGCCAGGTGTTGTTTGATGTTGGTGATTTTGTTTGGGCAGTATTAACTCATGATCGTTTTTCAGCTGGGGAATACAATAAGCTAAAGGAGCGGAAGATTGGACCTTGTGAAGTGCTGCAGAAGATCAATGATAATGCTTACAGATTGCGCCTCCCGAGCCAGTTGAAGACCTCTGACTTCTTCAATGTAAAACACCTAAGCCCTTGTTTTATGGAGTCCGATGAAGTTACTGTGAACTCAAGGGCGAGTTCCTTCCAACCCGGGGCGACTGATGCAGGAGGATCCGAGTCGAGCGATGCTGATTTCTCAGATAGCACGATGATGGCGCTGAGATACCATGAGATGACGGATCGGCATAAAGATGGAAAGTGAATCACCATTATTTCTTTAATTGGGGGAATTTGACGCGTTTTTGGCAATTTGGCCATAACTTTGGCTATGGTTATCGGAATCGCTATTATGACCCCAATCCAGAAAGCTCTCTTCGGCGCGCACGTCATGGCCACCCAGCTATGCTCAATGGATGTCAATTTCAAGCCCAAAATCCACTATTTTCCTTTCCAAGATTCAATTTTAAGTTATTTTTTTACTATTTATGGTAATATTTCGTTTCCTTTTTTCTATATGTTAGAAAACTCGAATTGAACCAAATTTTTGGCAACTTACTTCTTTTACTTAATATTTTATTTTGGTATAATTTTGGGATTTTGCCATTTTTGGTAATTTTCCCATAATTTCGTATTTCGCAGCTATTTAACCCGGCTTGTGGGTTAGTTTTCAGCATTCTACATTATTAATAATATTGAGTTGAATTCAGAGTTTTTTCTCTGGTTTTTTGGACGTTTTCTGTCGTTCTTTTCTTGCGAATCTTCTGTTACAACAAGCCAATAGGATAATTACTATCCTACCTGGCGTCAACAAGCTTCAGAATTGCAGACATCAATGATGGAGATTATGGAAGCTACCGATTTAGAGAAGCAGAAACTTAACAATACACGTATAGAAGCACTTGTGAGACTGTCAAAACTTGCGGTGGGTTTATAATTTCATTAAAATAGATTTAAGCTTTAGCTCTATAGTTGATTGATATCTTATCAGATTTTACTTATTATCTTTTAATTTTTATTGTTGTTGATATCGTTCTCAGCATGTTTATTCATTGCATTTTATGCACTGCAGACTGCGAATGCCGACCTTGCAAGGTCTCTTGCTGTTGCACAGAAAAACCTTGAAATAGAGGTACTTGGAAACCTCTTTAGTTGGTTATTGTGTTGCATTTTTCATTTGCTCCCCCTCCCCACCCCACCCCACCCCACCCTTTTGGTTTGTTGACCCTTTTTTTTTTCCCCTTCTCCAGTGAATGGTAAATGATGCATGAATACCTTGAGAAAACTCAAGACATTATGTTGCAAAAGCCAACTTTTTGGTATTAGTATTTGGCAGGCAGAATTGAAACTTAATATTTCTATATATTGTTTTACTTATTCATGTTTTCAGTGCAAAATTGAAGGAGAGGGAATTGTCATGAGAAAACTTAATTTGACATACTATCATCTATTGCATTTACAGGAGGTGCGGCACCAATGTGGTGGTCGTAATTTCCTTGGTTATTTGTAAAGTTAGCAAATTGAAGGAGGACCTCGATCTCTTTGGACTATGTTTCTTTTTACAATCATGTTTTAGGTTTTTGGTCAGTAGTTAATTATCAATAAACCAGTAATTATCAGCACATTAGGAAGTTAGTGATAGATCTTCAATTAGGCTTCAAAATTGACCTTGTGAAATGCTTGAATTGAAATTGTACAGTGACTTCTTTATGCTAGCATGATAGCAAATAGATTGACTCATGATTTTGTGCATGGATGGACCAGGTTGATCTTATCACTGAACTTCATCAAAAGATTTAAGTCGAAAGAAGGAACACTTTAAGGTGTGCTTTCTGTATGTTAATTGGATAGGGGAGTAACTTTAGTTCCAATCCCTCTCTTTTCAGTTTTTGCAGTATGTGTGCTTTGTATCTGTGCCAGAATGACTTGTCTAAATGTAGCTCATGGTGTTAACCTAGAGGCCTGTCGCTCTAAATAATATTGAGAATTGCACATCAAATCTTGCTTCATGGGGCAGAGACCATTTGATTTTCTTTTTCCAAATTTCCTGCACTACATATTTACTGCCTTGAAGTTTAATTTTGAACTTCAGGTCATATTTCATAATTGTATTTAATTATTAAATACTCGGTACGCATTTGCAGAATACTCTGGTTAATGCTTAAAATAAATAAAAAGTAATTTTTTACTTGTAAACAAGATTGAATAAATTACTTTTCCTTACAATTAAGTGAAAAACAGTTACTTATTGTGAAAAAAATTCTTACATTAGTGTCACATGAAGCAAGTTCCAATGATGATCAATAAAAGAAATACTTATTTACTTGCACGTATCTTTTATGCTTAGCCAAGCGTGCTATAAGAGAGTAAAACATTGAACCGGGAGTATGTATGAATTATGCTGTCGAAAATTACATTAAACAGAATTTAACAACTGAGTTTATTGTTGGTACTTACACATATCTTTTATGCTTAGCCAAGCATGCTATAAGAGAGTAAAACATTGAACCGAGTTTATGTATGAATTTTGCTATTGAGTTTATTGGTTGAACAAACAACTCTTGTTCTTTTATCAGGTTGAGGCACTATCCTCAAAAAAGGCAATGCTGCTATTCAGAATCAAGGTAAGTTTCTGTATTAGCAATCAAAGCAATGAAATGATGCCAAATACTACTCTGAATTGTCACCAAGTGTCCAAACGTTTTATTTTTCTGAATTTTTTGGTTTAAATGTCTTAGGCAGTTTCAAGGTTACTGGATGAGAACAAGTTGATTGTGGAATTAGCTGATTTTCCCGGTACCTCTTCAAAAGTTGATCTAGAATCCAGTGTATGGGAACCCTATAATTCGAAGTTCAGGCCTTTAGTAGTTAAAAAGAAAACTCGATCCAGCCAGCAACATTTGGGATCATTGATTCGACAGTTGGACTCAATTTTTTCTACTAGTGTCATCTTTCTAAGAAGGAATTCGACTGCTGGGATTTGGTCTGTCGCCTACTTTGTATGCTTTTATCAAATGGGTGTTATACATTCTAACGCCTCATTCTCCTTTCTCCAATGATGCTAGGTCTGGTGCTGTTGTTTCCTTGGAGAATATAAACAACACTGGAGGTGTCTAATTTACTTTTTGGGTTATAAATTTATTTTACATTTTTTAAAAGTGTTTTTTGTGATTCGTATAGAAACGTGGCTATGGTTGAGAAAAGTATTTCTCATTTTACATGTTATATTAGTTGTAGGTTCTACGTTCTAGTATTGTACGTATAGAGATAGATCTAGCAATTAACTGAACAAAGTGGTGAAAGAGGGTTCATGTAATCGACTGACAATTCTATTGTATTGTACACACAAAAGATGCTTCAATATATGCTACATATTAATCTTTCTAGGGTGCACAAAAAGTAAATTTGGGGTTTTTTTGGGTATGTTAGATACTTATAGGTCATATTGCAAAATCCTGATACATTGTACATTTATGCAAATATGCATCCGATGCTCCATATATCAATGGCAGGTGTATACTGCAAACGAAATTTTGTTTAGAACCATTATACATTGTTTTCAAGGGTTAAATCCATCAATGGCCATACAACTTTATATTTAGTATTACCATGATCACTTAATTTAATTTAATTTAATTTTATCACAGCCATCCAACTTTAAATTTAGTGTCACCATGACCATCTAATTTGATTTTATTTCACTAAGGTCATACAATTTCATAAAACGTCTCATCATCATCATCATCCAATTTTATATAACGTTTCACTCAACCAACTTTTTTTTTAATACCTTTTCACTAACTAATTTTAAAAGGGCTAAAACAATACTTTTACGTTATATATAAAATAAAGTTAAAAAATAATAATAAAATTTTATTTTAAAAATATAATAAAATAAAAACTAATTTTAAAAAATTTACTTAAAAAATGAAATATTTATTTTATAAAAATGTTTAAAAAAATAAAATAAAAATATTTTTAGAAAAAAATGTTGTTATTCTATTTTTTAATAAACTTTTTATTTTATAAATTTTTATTTTATATATAATGCAAAATTATTGTTCCACCCCTTTTGAAATGAGTGAAAAGAAGTTGTGTGGTCATTGATGGATTTAAATTAGAGAATCTAATCAAAATTGCCTAGAAATAGAATTGGTGTTATTTCCACTTATTTTATGCACAATTTGAAGTGTCCAACTAGTTATAAATCTAGCCCCATTTGGTCGCCATTATTCGAGATTATAATTTTTTGAATAGTATTTTTTGAAGAATGTGTGGTTAAAAAAAGATAAACAATTTTGGAATTATTTAGGACAATTTTGGATTTACGTGTAATATTATTTTATTTGAAAATGTGTGATTAATAAGAATGGAGAGAAAATGGATTATAATGGGAGCCAAACGGAAGCCTAGTAACATATAAAATAACAAATGAAAGAAGGGGAAAAAATATCATATTCTAGGACTTAAGCTTAGGCTAATTCAATTTTAAGAAAACAAGTTTACCTTTTCAAAGATAATTAAATTGTATTAATTAAATAATTAATTGTATATAAAATAATTTCAATCTCTTTCCAGTCTAGGCCACAATCACTGCCATTCACCTTCCTTACCAATCCTTTCCACAATCATCGACATCCACTCTCACAATTGCCGACATCTAAATAACTTTGTCAAAAAAATTTTAAAAAAAAAGAAGAAGAGAGAGAGAGAGAGAGAGAGAACTTTACTATTAGCATAACTTAGAACTTGTTATCTCATTGCCAATATTGCTAAGGTTACGTTAGTGATTTTCTTTGCCAGTCTAACATGCGACTAGAGTATAAATCTTTCAGGGCCATACATCATATAGATAAGAGAGAGGTAAACAAGCGTTGTATAAAGGAAAAGAAAGTATTGGGACATTTATCAGCTTACTTCAGAGAAAAAAGATCCACATGACTCACGTGCACGATACCAACGAGTAGCAACATAGTCCTTCGAAAAATAAATTAAGAAAATGAAAATTAAAGGTTAGAAAGTGAAGTAGATGACACTCAAAAAGTGATAGCGACGGCCATATATGAAAAGCTTAATAGAGTTCATTACAGTCCAAAAAATAGCGGACGGGGCATCATTAAATGACAAACGTGCAAGACCAAAATCACAAATCTTTAACTTACAATCAGCATCAGCAAGAATATTTTTTGGCCTCAAATCTCGGTGGAATACATTTGCTGCATAAAAATAGAAATAACAACAATAATGAGAATAAATTCCTCACATAAGCAAGGAAGGAAGAATGTGAAGGGGGAAGTTTCATATTGCAGAATGTCAAACCTGTGTGAATGATTTTTTTTTTTTTTTTTTAATTGTGGGTATCCGGGCAGCTTACGCGCATGGGACCCTGAAATTTACAATTGGATACTCACCTCAGTGGTCCTGAAACTTGTGTGAATGTATTTTAAGCCACGGAGGAGCTGATACGGGGAAATCTGATCATGTTCAACTGTCAGATTATCATTAGCCTTAATCACTTGGTGAAGGTCAGATTCCATCAATTCAAAAACAACATAGATATCTCTAAATTCTCTATGAGAAGGAGGGAGCATTATATGATTTATTTCAACAATATCGGGATGGCGAAGCAGCCGAAGAAGCTTGATTTCTCTAAGAATTCGTGTAGAGACATGTTCAAAAACGTCATTGATCTTCTTGATTGCAACGTTTTCTCCAGTATGGGTATCAATTGCAGGACCCACCACACCATAACTACCTTTCCCTATTTCTTCTTGAACCTGATATCGACTCGCCTCCCCATACTCCGTGAAGAATTCTGTTTCCTGTACATTCTGGATAAATAAGTACCAAATTAGAATCTGTTGAGTGCTTAAACAGTTACATGAATGTATCCCTTTTCGAGATAATAGGCATTGCTCAAAATTTTCCGATTTAGATGTCACAAAGTAATCAGAAATTCAGATTTACTTCCTCCCACAAATCTTTCTCCTTGGTTGCTCTCGCAGCCAATTACCAAACTAAAGGGGGGGGGGGGGGGGGGGGGGGGGGGGGGGGGGGGGGGGGGGGGATCACCAAAATCACAATGATTCAAAATACAAAATATTCAATAGGATATAAATTAAAATAGACTGAGTTATAATTCAAAAAATAAAAAATGCAAAAAAACCAAAGACCTTCATAATTCTGGGAAACACATTGGGCAAAGAGTTTAACATCTAAAAGAAACAAAAATTCAAATCTACACTAAATTCAAATCGGAAGTTTTGGTGCATTGGCAAGGTTATCATAAAAAAATACTAAAACAAATTTTCTCAAATAATCACGGAAGACTTCACTCATAAGAGCTTGAAATGTTGATGGTGCATTAGTCAAACCGAAGGGCATTACCAGGAATTCGTAGTGTCCTTGATGAGTTCTAAATGCTGTTTTTTCCACATCTTCCGGGCTCATTCGAACTTGGTGATACCTAGATCGCAGGTCGAGCTTGGAAAATACCTGTGCACCATGTAGTTCATCTAAGATCTCATCAATTATAGGAATTGGGTACTTATCCTTAATGGTAAGCTGATTCAAAGCCCGATAATCTACACACATCCTCCATGAGCCATCATGTTTCTTTACCAATATGACTAGGAAAGAATAGGGGTTGTTGTTGTGTCGGATTATACCCATGGAAAGCATTTCCTTAACCATTCTCTCAATTTCAGCTTTCTGAAAGTAAGGATAACGATATGGCTTTCCTGAAAATGGGCCCCACCCATGCTGTATTGGTATTTTGTGGTCACATGCTCGCTCGGGAGGTAACCCTGTTAGTTATTCAGCAAGTACTTTACTAATTTTTTGCAAAATCGACTTCACTTGTGGATGGAGTTCTTGCTGGACTTCACCTTTCTTTTCCTTAAGTAGGAGTTCAAGTAAAATTCCTTTCATCGGTGTTAGCTTGTAAATTTCATGACCATCAGCCACCATGTCCTCAGTGCTTTTCAATCCATGGAGGTGAAAAATCTTACCATACAATTCAAGCTTCATTAACAATTTAGAGAAATTCCATTCAATTTTCCCAAGTGTGCAGAGCCATTGTGCTCCCAAAACAACATCACAACCTTCCAATGGTAGTAAATAAAAATAAGCTTGAATAGGATGGCCTTGCAAAATCAATTGAACATTTTTACACTTCCCTGGGCAAGATAATTTTTCTCCAGAAGCCAACATTACCTTCAAGTTGTCATATGAGTTTGATTGGAAGCCTACCTTCACTGCTAGCTGTTCATTGATGAAGTTATGAGTGCTTCTTGAATCGATCAACACAGTAGCTTCTTTGTAAGTAAGATAACCTCTAACTCTCATTGTTTTAGGATTTCGAAGTCCAGCAATCGCATAGAGGGAAATTTCTGGCATATCTGAAACTTGCTCCTCAGATGGTTCATCTTCTTCCATCTCCACATCATCATCACTGTCCCTTAATGTAGCTTGGATAAAGAACAACTTCTTACACACATGTCCTGGGCCAAACTTTTTATTGTATTTGAAACACAAGCCTCTGCGCCTCCTCTCATTTATTTCCTTTGTGGTCATTCTCTTAATAGGAGCTGGTCCTAAACTTTGGATGCGCCGTGCTGGAGTTGTGCGAAGAGCAGGTTGCATGTTCTTGCGTTGGTTAAAATCTCTAGCTTTGAATAGCCTTGCTAACCCTATAGCTAAGGACAGAGACCTTGGCTTGTTAGCTCTAACATCAGTTCTGACGGGTTCTTGAAGGCCTCCTACGAAACAACTGACTTGTCGAGATTGCTCCATTGGTCCAGCCTTAGCCAACAATTTCTCAAATTTATCCTGGTAGTCTTGTACTAAACTTGTTTGTTGTAAATGAGTTAGTTCAGCAAAGAAATCCAAAAACTGATTTGGCCCATACCTTGCATTTAATCCGTTGCTGAATTCTTCCCAAGTGGCAGTGCCCAGCTCTTGTTTCATCAATTGGTACAATAGATGTGCATCGCCATCCAAATGAAATGAAGCTAATGCAACTCGATCTTGAACAGGGATTCCATATAGTTGAAATAATTGGTCTGCCATATCGAGGAAAATTAATCTTTACCGTTTTTGAAACATAAGATCCTGATATTGAACCCTCAGAAGCATTTACAAGAACACCTGGTGTACTATGGGCTACTGTTGAGTCTTCCATCCTGCCTGGAGTTTGCATTCTAGTAGTAGCGTTTCCAACAAGCTCACTAGTCTGAATGGCAATTTGTTCCACCCAATCATCGAGTTTACTGACTGTTTCAGACAATTTACGCAGGACCTCCTCCTGACCTGTCATCATCCCTACAACCACCTCCAATTGTTCCAACCTGTGTTCCATTCCCAGGCTCTGATACCACTGTGCTACAGCCTTGCTAGTAGAAGTAGTTTTTCCTCTACCTATTTTGGGACTAAAAGAAAAAACATAGATTTTTCTAGCTTGTTTGAGGGAGCAAGAACCTCCAATTTTTTATGTAAATCAAAAGTGTAGCAGAAAAGGATTTTTATCTTTATTTCATTCCAGAATAAATAGTAGAAAAATTCAACAAATTCCCACAAAAATAGGGATAAAGACCAACGTTCACAAGTTGGTTTTAACTACTCAACAACTATGCGAGACTTATTCAAGGAACTAAACATAAAAATGGAAAATTATTAACTTCAGGACATAAAACTCCTATCACTCTTATCCTTTTTTCTCTCTCTCTCTCATAATTTATTTCTCCACTAAAAATTTTAAAATCAGCTAACTTTTTATATGTATATTTCAATAGAGATAAAAACTCTCTCATTTTTCATCTGCTTCAACCTAAAAGTTTCAGAACTTTATCGAACACTAAACAATGAAATATTTTTTTATATAAATAACTTCGAATTGGTAAGTATATTTGCGTATGTTTACTTTAGTTTTCGTTAAATTAGTATACATTTTAATCGATAAATTTTCTTTCGACATAGATTAAAATGTTTTTAACAGATCTATAATTTTTTAAGTATGAATAAGAAAAAATTCATCTGCATCTAAATTCTTTCGGGCGAAATCCATGAAAACGTTTTTGAACAGACTTAACAGTCTCCAAACAACCAGAAGGATGTTAAAATAGCTGGCGATTATCGCCAGCTATTTAATAGTTAGTAGTTATAGCGGTCTATTTACCCCGTTGTTTGCCTGTTTTAGTACAGTTGCCCCAAATTAATCGATTTTCCTACTAATTTTCCTGATAATTAAAAATTCTATTTCGTCATGCAAATATGATTGTAATTCCGGTTTGTTATTTTGGTGATTTTGAATTGGATGAAAAAAGATTGATGGGTAAGGAAATTGACGAGTTATAATTAAATTGTGGTGGCTGAGGAGGAGGCTACCAAACAAAGGCCTGCTCGAGTGCAAGAGAAGTCTCCCAGCTTCCTTGTCGGAAGGGAGGAGCCTTTGGCTCCAGCTTTGGTAAAGGCCCTGCCACCTGAGATCCGAGGCACTACTGAAAGTTTTAATAAATTCTGGACGGATCGGTGGCAGCTGCACGCCTCCTCCTGTGATGCCACGGGCTTGACAAGGGCTCTTGTGAGTCAAAGTGTTAGGACTTTTGGCCTCGCACTGGAATGCAGGGAGGCCCTCATTGACTTCCAGACGAGGACCACTGCCTCAGAGAGGAAGACACCTCCTTTGCAGAGGAGCTGAAGGCAGCTAGGGCCCAAAAACTTGAAGAATCGGCCAAGTTGGAGTCTGGCTTGGCTCAGATAGAGGCATTGAAGAGGGAGGTACATATGTCCCAGTGTGAGGTTGCCTCATTGACTAAAAAGGTGGAGGTTTCCAATGATCACCAGAAGGTGACCGCCGAAGCCTTGGAAAAGGCAAACTTGGCATTGGCATCATCCCAAGAGGCGTACCAGTTCTTGGAAGGCCAAATTAAATGGTATGTGGATGATGCCACAAGGCAAGGGAGGAGGTCCAAGAGGCAAAAGAAGAGGCGGTGAAGGACTATATTGCCAACTTTCATAACACCGAGGAGTACAAGAGCTTCAATATTTACTGGAAGAACTTTGCTTATGCCGAGGTAAAGGAGCGAGCTGAGGAGTTGTATCCCAATTAGGACCTGTCACAACTCAGGTCGGAGTTTGTGGACGAAGTGCCTCAAACCCCAGCTGATGAAGAGGTGGGAGATGAAGTAGCAGAGGTAGAAGAAGTAAACTTTGATGCTCAAGCTGCGGAAGTCCCAACTATTGAAGCACCTCCATCATATTCTCAGGCCTAGAATAGTTTTCTTTTCAGTTATTCTTGATGTACTGGCCTCAGGCCCCCCTTTTATAATCTCAATTGAAAATCAATATAATATGTTTTTCATTCAATGTTGTTTCTTTCTCTCAAGTGTATTGGCCTCGTTAAGTAATTGAACGTAATGTTGATTGAAGAACTAAATAACTTTAATTGGGTATCCAAACTCCAATCACTTGAACAAATAAATTGTATGCAAGCCTCATGAGTTATGACCAATATAGGACTTAAGCAAATGAATTGTACTTAAGCTTAATAACTGTAACCTAAAGGGATCCTAAGAATGGACCGTGTTGCAGTCGAACCTGAAGTGTATGAGCCTTGGAGATCAAGCAAGGTGGCCCAGAGATGGGACCCTGGCCTCTCTTCCGAGGTGACGACGCTTCCCAACATGGTGGATGGTACAGCCATGTTGAGGCTTCTCCCCTTGGCGTTCAGCCTAGCCAAAGGGAGGCATGTGCATGTGTCTTGGAGTTCAAGCGAAGTGGCCCAGAGATGGGACCCTGGCCTCTCCTCCGAGGTGACGACGCTTCCCAACATGGTGGATGATGCAGCCATGTTGAGGCTTCTCCCCTTGGCGTTCAGCCTCGTCAAAGGGAGGCAAATGCATGTGCCTCAGAGTTCAAGCGTGGTGGCCCAGAGATGAGACACTGGCCTCTCCTCCGAGGTGACGACGCTTCCCAACATGGTGGATGGTGCAGCCATGTTGAGGCTTCTTCCCTTGGCATTCAGCATCGTCAAAGGGAGGCATGTACATGAGCCTCGGAGTTTAAGTGAGGTGGCCCAGAGTTGGACCTTGGCCTCTCTTCCGAGGCGAGGAAGTAATGCAACATGTTAATTTAATCATAGAATTTTATTGAACCATAGAAATGTAACATGAGCTGGGAAAGATCGTCCAACGATGTGGTACATTCATTGGTCATAGATTCTGAGGTGCTCGATGTTCCATGGACAGGGTTGTGCCTTGTCGTTCATGTCTTCAATCCAGTAAGTCCCAGGCCAGATCTCTTCTCTGATTTTATATGGGCTTTCCAAGTTCGGACCCAGGGAATCGGAACCAAGTTCCTTTGAGAAGAGGAAGACTCTCCTTAGGACCAAGTCGTTGATTCGGAATGATCTCTTCTTTACCTTTGAGTTGAAGTACTTCGTCATCTTCCTTTAATGTGTGCCGAGCTTCATCTGGGAGTCATCTCTTCTTTCTTCAATGAAGTCAAGGTCATACCTCCGAAGCTAGTCGTTTGTCATCTCACTAAAATGCAGACGTCTTGGAGACAGGAGTCCGACCTCAATGGGGCTCATCGCCTCAGTACCATATGCCATAAGGAAGGGTGTCTCCTCGGTTGGGGTCCTCGTGGTGGTTCGGATTGTCCAAAGTACTTGTGGCAGCTCATCCACCCAAGCCCCTTTTGACACATCAAGCTTCCTTTTCAGGATGTGTTTGATTGTTGTTGACAGCCTCAACTTGGCCATTTGCTTGTGGGTGGTGAGGCGTGGAGAAATGCTTCTTGATGCTGAGTTCTTCGCATAGTGCTCTGACCTTCTTGTTGTCGAATTGTCTACCATTGTCTGAGACGATTGAGTAGGAAATCTCGAACCGGCATATAATATTCTTCCACAAGAACTTGGAAGTGTTGGCTTCTGTGATTTTTGCCTGTAGTTCAGCCTCAACCCATTTTGTAAAGTAATCAATGGCCACAATTGCAAAGCTTGCATCTCCTCTACCTTCAGGCAGGGACCTATGAGGTCCATACCCCATTTCGAGAAAGTCCAAGGGCTGGAGACCGCGGTAAAATCCTATGACGATTGTCTTTGTACCGAAGAGAATCGTTGGCATTTGTCACACTTTCGTACAAACTCGAAGGCATCCCTTTTCAAGGTAGGCCAGTAGTACCCTTGCCTCAATATCTTTTGTGCCAAAGATAGACCTCCAGAGTGATTTCCGCACACGCCCTCATGGATTTCTCTTAATATGTAAATAACCTCTTCTCCTCCAACGCATCGTAAGAGTGGGGAGGAGAAGCTCCTCTTATAGAGAACATCATCAACCAAGAGGAAGTGGGCTGACCTCATAATTAGCTTGTAGGCCTCATGCTTGTTAGTGGGAAGTATCTGGTCTTTGAGGTATGCTACGATTGGCTACATCTAGGTAGGAGTCCCAGCAACCCACATTACATTGGGGACCTCGGTTGACGGCAGGAGGAGATACTCTAGAGGTACTACTGTGAGTAGTTCTGAATCCTTGCTACTAGTGAGCTTGGAGAGTGCATCCGCATGAGAATTTTCGATGCGAGGAATCAGGGTTAGTTCAAACTTTTCAAAGGATGGGATGAGGTTCATCACCACTTTTAAGTAGGAGGCCATCGTTTTGTCCTTGACTGAGAAGTTACCATTTACTTGGCTAACAATTAGCTGGGAGTCACTGTTGATGAGTAGTCTCTTTGCTTTCATTTCCTTGGCCAGCCTGAGGCCTGCGAGAAGTGCCTCATATTTTGCTACGTTGTTGGTGGCTTTAAACCCGAACCTCACCCCTGAGTTCAGTTTGTGACCTTCAGGGCTTATGAGGACAACTTTAGCATTTAAGCCGGCATTCCCAGCCGACCTATCGACGAATAAGTTCCACGTAGGGGGCTCGACGTGTTCCATGATTTCATCTACCTCGGGTAAATTGGCAAATTTTACCACAAAGTCAACCAAGACTTGACCCTTGATGGCTGCCCTAGCCTTGAACATGAGGTCAAATTCACTTAGCTCCACTGCCTACTTCAATAATCTTCCTGAGGCATCAGGCTTTTGGAGTACCTGCCTTAGGGGAAAGCTTGTTAGCACATGGATGGTATGAGCTTGGAAGTAGGGTCTCAATTTCCTGGAGGCCGTGATCAAGGCCAAAGCGAGCTTCTCCATATCGGGGTAATGAATTTTCGACGATAAGAGTGCTTTACTTGTATAGTAAACGAGGAGTTGGGTGGTCCCCTCTTCTTGGGTTAGAACCGAACTGATGGCCTCATTGGAGACGGCCAAATATAGCTGTAGGATCTCACTGGGCTTCGATTTGGAAAGGAGGGGACCTGCCCCAGGTGCCTTTTCAGGCCTCTTCACATTTCTCGTTCCATTGGAAATTTTTCCCAGCTTTCATCACTTTGAAAAATGGAAGGCATTTGTCTGTAGCTTTGGAGACGAAGTGGCTAAGTACGGCCACTCGTCCAGTCAAACTTTGCACCTCTTTTGGCTTTTGGGGGGACCTCATCTTGTGTAGGGCCTCAATCTTCTTAGGGTTGGCTTTAATTCCACATTGATTGACCATGTAACCTAAGAATTTACTGGAGGCCACTCCGAAGGCGCACTTGAGGAGGTTGAACCTCATCCTATATCTTCTCAAGATTTAGAAGGTGTTGTTGAGGTGCGTTATGTGGTCCTTAGCCTCCAAACTCTTTACCAACATGTCATCCACATATACCTCAATTGTCTTGCCGATGAGGTCCATAAACATTTTGTTGACAAGCCTTTGGTAAGTTGCTCCGGCATTTTTCAATCCGAAAGGCATCATCCTATAACAATAAAGGCCTCGGTCTGTGATGAAAGAGGTGTGCTCCTCATCGGCCGGGTGCATGGGTATTTGGTTGTAGCCAGAGTATGCGTCCATAAAGCTCAACCACTCGTGTCCAGCCATGGAGTCTACTAGTTGTTCAATCCTTGGGAGTTAAAAGCTGTCTTTCGGGCAAGCTCTGTTGAGGTTGGTGAAATCGATGCACACCATCCACTTGCCATTGTGTTTCTTCACTAAAACCGGGTTGGAGACCTACCTAGGATAGGTAGCCTCCCGAATAAAGATGTTTTAGATGAGCTTCTGAACCTCTTCCTTCAGAGCCTCGTACCTCTCAGGATTGAGGGCTCTCCTTTTTTGTCTGTGCAAGGCAACCTTAGGATCGACTTTCAAGTGGTGGCAACTGACTTTGGGGTTTATGCCTACCATGTTCTCATGCCTCCAAGCAAAGATATCAAGGTTCCTACTTAGGAAATCCTTAATCTTTTCCTTCAAGATGTTGGATAAGCCATTGGCTACTTTCAGCACCTTGGATGGGTTTGGGGTCTACCGAGAAGCTCTCAAGTTCCTCAATTGGGGATGCTTGGGGGGTTCGTGTTCAGTTATGCGGGGATCGATCTCATCAATGATCGATACCTCCGGATTGGGTGGTGCATCAATCATATCGATATCTTCTGGTTCAGTGGGAGCATCGCCTGGGACATCAGCCATGACTATATCGGCTATGATTACATGGACGTCCCGGGGCTCTACCTTTTTGATGGAGTTTAGATAACACTCTCTCGATCCTCTTTGGTCGCCTCTCACCGTTGCCACCCCATTTTTCGTCGGGAATTTCATGCAAAGGTGGTGGATGGAAGTGACTGCTCCCAATTCCTTTAGGGCTAGCCTCCCTAATACTCCGTGGTAGGCCGATCTACTGTCGACAATGAGGAACTCCATGAAGTTCATCGTAGTTTGGGGAGACTCTCCCATCTCCACTGCAAGTGTTATCTTTCCCCTTGGAGTGATGCTATCTCTGGTGAATCCGTACAAAGGAGTTGTGGTAGGTGTCAACTGATGATCCAATATCATCTTGTCAAAGGCGGATTCGAATAGAATGTTGACAGAGCTACCGTTGTCAACTAACATTCGCTTGAGCCCATTTTGAGCTATGACGACTCTCACAACAAGTGCATCGTAGTGGGGGTAGTGAACTCCTTCGACGTCTTCCTAGGTGAAGACAATGGGTGGAACTTGGATCCTCCGAGAGTTGCTATCCACAATATAGCTTGCCAAGGAACTAAACATAAAAATGGAAAATTATTAACTTTAGGACATAAAACTCCTATCACTCTTATCCTTTTCTCCCTCTCTCTCTCATAATTTATTTCTCCACTAAAAATTTTAAAATCAGCTAACTTTTTATATGTATATTTCAATAGAGATAAAAACTCTCTCATTTTTCATCTGCTTCAACCTCAAAGTTTCAGAACTTTATCGAACACTAAACAATGAAATATTTTTTTATATAAATAACTTCGAATTGGTAAGTATATTTGCGTATGTTTAATTTAGTTTTCGTTAAATTAGTATACATTTTAATCGATAAATTTTCTTTCGACATAGATTAACATGTTTTTAACAGATCTATAATTTTTTAAGTATGAATAAGAAAAAATTCATTTGCATCTACATTCTTTCGGACGAAATCCATGAAAACGTTTTTGAACAGACTTAACAGTCTCCAAACAACCAGAAGGATGTTAAAATAGCCGGCGATTATCGCCAGCTATTTAATAGTCAGTAGTTATAGCGGTCTATTTACCCCGTTGTTTGCCTGTTTTAGTACTGTTGCCCCAGATTAATCGATTTTCCTACTAATTTTCCTTATAATTAAAAATTCTATTTCATCATGCAAATATGATTGTAATTCCGGTTTGTTATTTTGGTGATTTTGAATTGGATGAAAAAAGATTGATGGGTAAGGAAATTGACGAGTTATAAACGTAGCAGTATTCTAATTTCCATAACATCGAGTACATCATATGCAGGAATGTACTATGACCTACAAAATAATTTGAACGTCGATCCCTCTTCATACGATATGGAATTGATATTTCAATTCAACAAGCATTTATTCATTCTAATTCCACTTATGAAGATTGCTTTTAATATTGAAGTAAATTATCTATCTGAATTGAACAAATGCACACGATTCCTCTTTGCGTGACTTTAGTAAGGAAGAATGATGCCGATGGTGAAGACGAAGATTCGAATGGAAGGGATCACAATGCCAATAATTTTTGTGACGCAATGGAGATAGCTCGTAAAGATGATGTAGATATTCCAAAGAAAGTTGTTCCTCATCGTGATCTCATTGTTACGCATAGAATTTCCTTAGTAGTTTATAACAACGTGAATGAAAATAAATTTAAAAATAAGAATTTGATTGTTTTATCCTATTAGAGACATGACCGTCTTCTAACTCCTTGTGTGAGGTCCCGATGATGATGATTTTATGTTGAGCAATTATTTGAAACAAGAAAGATTTGCAAGAAATTGTGCACCAAATTGCACTAAAATATAACATTGAGTTCAAAGTGAAAAATCAAAAACAAGTCATTGTTGACGATAGTTTACGTTGACAGTTGTCGTTGGCATTTGCAAGCAACGAAGATGGGCATAAATAAGTTACTTGTAGTTTGAAAATATACACACGAACATACTTGAGAAGTGAGAATTTCGTCGAAATGATCACAAACAAGCCTCGAGCAGATAATGCACAAGTTATGAGACCCACGACTATCTATAAACCTCAAACATTATTAACGATGTTCTTCGAGAGTACGGAGTGGTCTTAAGTTACCAGAAAACCTGAAAGGCCAAAGAATGCATGTTCGAGGATTTATTGGGCTTGATCGAGAAGAGCTATGCTAAATTGACCCAAACTTTGTCCGGTAAGACACCACATATTGTACTATGTGTTAAGCAGTACCCTTTTTTAGGTATGAGACTCAGGTATTGCCATAACTTGGAAACAACTAATCCTGCTTCGACATTTTTTTAGATGGAAGGCGATATTGCTTTTAAGTTTTTTCATAGCTTTTGGATAATGCATTAGGGGTTTTCAATCGACCAACATGTCCAACAACTATATCTTTACAGATAATCGCAAAGGCAACTATATAGGTGTGTGGACAACTTCTCGAACCGAGACTAGACTAAATCGAGGACACAGTAGGAAAACAAATAGCTAGCAAGTGTTAATGTCCCTCAACCTAATATTTATTGGTCCGTGATCTAGGGCATGTTTAAATATTAGTCGATAGACAAGATAAATGTGGCACTCTCATCCTTTGAGATAACATTTGTAATTTTGATTAGATTATCAATATATCGCTATTCTCATTACATTAATATGTTGTCACAATGATTATTGAAGTTATTTTAAACACTTCTTCAACTATTTTACAATGCTATGCCCAACAGCTGCATGATCTTGACTCTACACTCCAAAAAAAAAAAAAAAAAAAAATCATATTAATCTATCTAAAATGTTACTAATCATAATCATGGGCTTTCATTTCTACAATCAGCTGAAAATCTTGATCGTGTCAACTAATGCCTAACATTTTTTACAATAACTTGACGCATTATTATGACATTCAACTATTTATAAAAGTTGTTGTTATGACAATACTATATTATTCCTATCAAATAATCTCGTTATCATCACAATGCATCATACGCACACAGGGACGTACCCATCATTCAATCTCAATAGGGTCATAATTCAGCTAAAAAAATTTATTTTTATTTTTTTACCAAATAAGACAAAAATGTAATATTAAATCTAATACCTACAATTATTCCTTATTGGATTCATACTTTTAATATGTCATAATATCTTTATTATAAATTCATTTAGTACATGTTTTCAATATACATAATGAAACTGTCAATTCCCTATTGCTCGATTTCTTTACGATCTTTTAAGTTTATCGAATTACATAAATGTACTTATCTAGGATTCAAGCTACATAGTCAAGCTCAAATTAATATTTATTCCTTTTTAATCATGTTCAAATTTTTTTCATGCAAAACAATACCTAGAACTAAGGCATGGAGAATATTTTATTGTAACACTCTAGTCAAACGAGTAAAATAAAATAAATTTAGTATAAGAGATTGAAAGTAAACATTTGCCAAGTAGTGACAACTAATAAGGGGTGAAAGAAAAATAGAAAGTGAAACTAAGTGAACATGTTTTTCTAATTAAGATAAACTTATAATGAGAGAAAGTAGAGAGAATAAGAAACAAACAAAAAATAACGAAGAGAAAGCCAAAAAAAAGTTCCAAAGAAGAAAAGAACATAGAGAAATAAGAAGCTGAAAAGGGGAAGAGAGAAGACATCATTATAAACTTTGTCCTGCCTTCATTTTAGTTGTTAATTATAACAATAGCACATCTCGTGTTGTGGGGTCGTTATAACAAGAGAAAAGGACAAGATGCATACACCTTGGACTTTAGATTACAAACAACGGAGGGATTGAAAGGCCTTACCTCAAATGCATTTTCATCTTTCAAATAATATTATTCAAGAAGTTTTAAAGAAGTCAACCGCTGCATTATGATTAAAATTTGGGCAATTATGCACAATGAAGAGTCTTACTAGCAAATTTTATTTAAACAACATCTATATTTTCATCATATGGCAGAAAATACATCTTTAAAGATCATCTAATTGCTTTTAAGGAAAGCATCGCTAACTTGGAGAGTTTGGAGGTAAAATACGATGAAATAGATTTGAGATTAATTTTATTGTGTTCATTGGCCGCTTCATACATGTCTTTTAGAGACGATTTTATATAATCATGATATCCTCACCATCCAAAAAGTCTATGATGTTCTATATTCAAAGGAGAAGATGAAGCATTTCATAGCATCTGAAGGTCATAGAGATGGCCTCATTGTTGATGGTGGTTGTTTAAAGGGCAGGTCAAAATCTAATTTCAAA